TGCATTGACATTTGCATGATGTGTGACTCGCCTTTGGCGTTCGTTGTAATTATTCATGCTTTTATCAAATAATCACAATGTGTTGGGTCTTTTGCATGTTGTGTGTGCATCACCCAGATGCCTTAACTGCAAATCCTGCTCGTTAGGATGAGTTGCTCGTTTGTTGGTCGCAATACCTAAACAAGCGTTACTCGTGAGAATAGCTTAATGAGCAATAAAAACTTTCTTATTATTATCAACTTGTTTATGACTGTGTTAAGGCTCTATGGACTCTAAAGTACGCTACTTGCATGTTAGAGGCCCGCTTTTATTCGTCCTATATTTTAAAGTATAAAAACATATATTTTTCAATTAAATATTATTTGCCATACTTTTAAAATTACATAAGTTAGGTTGTAATTGAGGACACTTATTTAAAATGTCATCTTCCTAGTGACGTATTTTAAATCCCTTAGATCTTTAGGACACAACTGGTGATGCAACCACGTTAAAGTCATACACTCAAACTCTGCCCCTGCACTGTGCACACACTTAGATGTTGTGATAGGACACTGTGGTAAATGGTGTTCTAGATTGTCTTTTCGGTGTCCTGACTATAGTTTTTCGCTAGTTTGGTTACCTTTGTCAGACATCATTTTGTGTGTTACCTTTTATGTGTTTGCTGGAGTTTGAGAGTTGTGCAATTGCATGTTAGAGGCAGTCTTTTTGCGGAGAGTCATATCCAACAGTGATGAGCTTAATAATTTAAAGTTAACATTTTGCTTACAAGTGTTATTTGGCTCTTCTCCTACCAGATATGGTTCATTATACGTTGCATGTAAGTAACACGTGCTAACATTTTTATTACATGTCAAATATTTTTCTGACTTTTACATGTACATTTTAGAGTCCTTAGGAGAGTCCTGTGGCGAAAATAAGATACAAACATGGGTTTTGTGGCAATTGAGGCGTGGACCCACGTGACGGGAACGAGGAGTATATGTCATGTCTCGTATCTTAATTCTACATTTCATTTGATGTATAGCATTAGGATCAGGGATGTATATGTGGAGTCTGGATGTCTTTTTTATTTTTTTCGGATATGTTGTTGGTCCAGCGATATCTGTCTTTTTATTATTTTATATTTGGCTTGCTTTTTATATTGTGCAGTGTGCTTATCTATTTTCGCTTTCTATAATTGTTGTTTGTCTGAGAATCTCGCAATATAATTTAGACTCTTAAAGGACCCTATAATATATTTTTTTTCTATAAAATCCTAAAAAAAGATTAAGATTAATCAAAATTTAGGATTAAAATTTTTTTTTCTATAAAATCCTAAAAAATGATTAAGATTAATCAAAATTTAGGATTAAAATATTCAATTATTTAAAACTTGCACTTTACTTTTTTGCATGGCCTTCGGACCAACTTTAAAATGGTTTATCTGGCATAGCTATCACTGAAGTCATATTAATAGAGCCTCCACACTTAGGACTGTAGATAATTGCATCATATTGCATGTCCCAAAGAGAATTCTCGTGCTTCTTCAACCGGACTGGTCCAACATGGATTTCTATTTAGGTGGCTTTTTAGCACACTTAGGATGTTAGAGTCTTCCCTGACCTAGACGGGATATAAGTCTTTTGTGGGATTGTTTTTAGCTTTATAGTTGGACCTCTCTTTTCTCTTCTTCTGGAGGCATCTTTATCATTTATTTGGCAAGTATAAGTCCTACCTCTATGAGCTCTGCCTGTATAGGGTCATAGGATTTAGATTTTTCTTCTTTTGACCTTAGGGCTACTGAGATTTCCTTAAACGATGCAATTCATGGATTGCTGACAAGGAGTCTCTGGTTGTGTTGGATAGACTACCTTCACAACCAGGTAGACTCAGGGTCGTAATAACTTACGATGACAGCTCCGTGATATCCTGACTGGATTATTTCTATCCCATTAGGATTACTCTACCTCTCATTTTGTTGATCCCTTTGACTGCATTCGTCCTTTGACACTTCATTGACGTCATCTTGACGACCCTGATTATTGATAAACTATCACCTGTTTGGGATATGGTGATTCACTCTCTGCCCTTATGGCTTGGTGAGCTTTGAAGTATAGGGATACTCCCGTCAAGATGATTTTGTTATTTTATAGGTCTTGTCTGCCGATAAGTCGTTATCCATTTGAGATGTAAGAGATTTACTTATTGTGCGTGGCTTAGCGAGAGCATTGAAAGCAATGAAATGTTCCTGTGAAATAACCATTCATTCAGTGACTTGTTTATCGATCATGATAATGTAAGAAAGACCCATTTTATCAAGAGTATTCTTGATTATCCATCCTCCAAGATGTAATTAACCAAAGAAATACATTCCGTTGGGAGTTTTATTGACCCCATAAAAAAAATGTTGTTTTGGTTCTCTAATTATGGGTGACTTATGTAGGAATTTTTGAGGATACCATATTTTGAAGTATTTTGATCTGATCATGTTTAGGTGTATAGTCTCGACCTATCACCCAAGGATTACCCCGTAAATAAGTCTTTCATGTTTCTTTTTAAAATTTGTTTGACTATTTTCGTAGTATATCTCGTCTTATCCAGTTCCTCTCCTCTTTGGGTCTTTTCGATGGCCCGAGAGAGAGAGAGAGAGACTTATTTGGAAAGGAGAATCATACGACAACATCTATATAGACAAGCTAGCAACTCCAAGTTTTTAAAAAGAACCAAAAACATAAAGATTGACATACACAAATGATAGTTTGACCTTGCTCAAAGACATTACAGGATACGAATTATGAGAATATAAGCACAGAAGAACGTAGTAATTTCTTAACTGTTACCTGATCCAAAATAAACATGAACACAAGGAGCACCATCCAAAATAACATGACTACTAGAGACTAAACAAATGAAAGAGAAGAAGAGACTCACACGAAAGTAGTGAGTAGAAAATGAGAACTTGCAATGGAGAACAACACGTCAGTGCCCCGCCAGAGGCATGCAATGGTGACTAATCTAGGGATTCAGTTTAGATTTAACGCAATCCACTAACAGTAGATCCGCATGTTTGGATTCATTTCGCAAATACAAGGTCGACAGCGTGCCTCATATTATAATTGATATTCCATTTTTATTCATGTATTAAAAAGGCTATGCAAATGTGTGGATTTATGGTTGTAAACATCATATCTTGAAAATACAATTGAGAGCATTTTCTTCTTTAAGTCATGCATATTTATTAAATAATCCCTAGTCATTTGGATGATTGGTTTATGCATTCCTTTGGTGAGGAAGTGGCCGTTTTTCTTATTATTGCTTGTTTCTCTCTCTCTCTCTCTCTCTCTCTCTCTCTCTCTCTCTCTCTCTCTCTCTCTCTCTCTCTCTCTCTCTCTCTCTCTCTCCCTCCCTCCACACAAAAACCTTCCCACCCTTCAATTCCAGCACCACAACAAATTGAGTACAAATGAGCAATTAGATGTGTGTTTTTCACAAGTAGCTAATGGGCATTAATGGTAAACATGCATCAAACATTAGTCTCTAATATGTTCTAAACAATGGATGACAAGGAATGCTATGATTTAGATGATAATTAGTGATCATTTTGATCATTTTTCTAGTAGGGGAAATTTGAAAATCAACATAATAGGCTTCAAACATTAAGGATAGGACATTAGATGTCATTCATCAAAACACGATGCAATCAATGGAGAACATTAGAAGTTCTGTGATATCTAGTGGGATACATGATTTTTCTCCCCATAAAATGAGAGTGTGAAATCAATATTATGAGCATCACACATTGATGGCTTATGGGCATTAAACATAAAGGTTGGAGTGTGTTGAGTTATAATTGATGGGGAACAACAATGTTTTTGGGTAACAATCGAAAGTTGGCTTCATTGTTCATTTGGTGAGATGGGAGAATAGACTTATAGCACATGTTTCATATATCAAATGTTAGTTTTGAACAACAAACATTGATCTTAAAAAATATTTTATGATTGGTCTAATCCTTCCATGATATGCTTTGAGATTATGTGATTATTAAAATAATCAAACATTAGGGCTCACTAGTACTAGACAACTATCATTGAAATGCATTAAGTGATTGTGGCTAAATAGGTAAACATGATACGAGAGATCATGCAACTTAGAAGATGATTGTAAACTATGGTAGCTCATGGACATTGAATATTCGATTTTGGTGGCTTACAATGTATCAACTATTAGCCACTAGCTGGAAGCACATGATAATTGATAAGAAAAGGTAAAGATCTACCGATTATTAGAAGTTTTTTAGATTTTATTTATATGACTGATTGAGGGATGACCACGCGAACGAGTGTAAACATTGACAACATGTTGGAAGACATGGAATATTGATAATTAGTGTTTATCAAAAGATAATCGACAGTCAACATCGACGCAACAGGAGTGAAATTTTTTGATCGTATGTGGAAAATAAATTTAGTGCAATGTTTTTGGGTCTCCCAAAACATGCCCTTAATAATTTAGTAATTTAATAATTAAATTTCTATAATATAAAAAAAAAAATTGATATCATCAAACTAAATTTTCGGTTGACTCGGGCTGAAAATTATAATATTTAACATCATGTGTAAAATATTATTAATTAAGTTACCATGTTTAGAATATTTTAATGTCAACCATAGGTAAATTAGCATACATACCACACATATCCTAAGTATTTACATATCTAACAACCAATGTTTGATTCTTATAATTAGAACACATTGGTGTCATAGAACTATATATAGAAAAGTGCATCACTTTTAAAAGCTGGTAAATATGATTTTTTTTATTTTTTTGGATATTAAAAATTTTGAGTGGCAGACATGTAAATATGAAATATGAAATTTTTGGTCTTGAATGGCGCGGCATGTAAATTTAGTAATTGAATAATTATAATTCCATAATTTGAAAAATTAATTCGCTGCACGGGGAGTGTATTTTCGGCTAAAACGCGTGCCTGAGAGCCATATAACCGTCCCCGCTTATAAATAACCCTGCAAATGACCGTCTTCCTCTCGTTCTTCTCTTTTCTTCGATTTACCGATGGGGAAGCTCCGGTCCCTGCTCCGGCGCCGAAGAAGATCAAAGGGAGCCACGTCCAACGGAGAGGCGTCGGAGCCAGCTTCGCCGGAAGCCACCCCTACGGCGGCGACGACGCGGGAGGAACTCGAACGCGTTTTCCGGAAATTCGACTCCAACGGCGATGGAAAGATCTCTTCATCGGAGCTCGGCGCCATCTTCGAGAGCCTAGGGCACCCGGCGTCGGATGAGGAGCTTGCGGGGATGATGAACGAGGTTGATGCCGACGGTGACGGCTTCATCAGCCTGGAGGAGTTCGTGGATCTGAATACCAGCGAGATCGATTCCACGGCGGCACTCGAGGATCTCCGCCACGCCTTCTCTGTCTTCGATCTTGATCGCAATGGATCGATATCGGCGGAGGAGCTCGCGCGCGTGATGCGAGGGCTTGGCGAAGGGGTCTCCGTCGCGCAGTGCCGGAAGATGATTGATGGCGTCGATCAGGACGGCGACGGCCTCATTAGCTTCGAGGAGTTCAAGGTCATGATGTCCAAATCCCCCATTGCTACTTCGATCACCAAGATCGAGTAAGCCGATCTCGATTTCCTTTCTCCTCTTATCAATTTTCTCTGTTTCTTTTTTTTTATAGTTTGGATCTGACTAAAGAGAGAGCTGAAAAAAAGCTTAATCTGTACATACTTGGAAGACGAGTTCCTTGCTCTTACAATATATTCTTCCCTTTTTTTTTTTTTTTTTTTTTTTTTTTTTTATTCTTTTATTTCTTTATATTGACGGCATTATTTATTTTTCTTGTTTTTTCAATCCCAAATTAATTTCTGAAGGAATCATGAACTCGTTTACCATTTCCAGCTTTTTCGCCATCAAGATTTTGAGAAAACTATTTCAGCGAATATTGCAATTTCCCTTTATTATAGTCTTTGATGTGTTATAGTTCGTATTTCATTGGAGAAATTGGTCAAATTTTAAAAAAAAAATCACAGGATGAGGGAAGCATTTTCTTCTTAAACGGTTCTGGGCATGCGGCTGAGTTCTGTGTTCACTTCTCGGGTCCAAAAGATTTTTATTTTTAATACGATTTCCTTCGTTTGTATTTTTTTCCAATGATTCCACCGGTTAGGTCAAATTGCTAAAATCAGGAGTTAATACGAAGAAGAAGAAGAGGAAAATCTTTGGACCTTTAAATGCAAACCACACAATTCTTCTATATTTGCATATCTAACACCTAAACTTTGATATTTACATGGTAACACTCCAATTTTAATATCACATCAATAGTACCAATGCTACCGCAAAGGTTTATAAAATCATAATGCTACAAATGTAAACATCAAACCTTAGCTGTTAGAAATGTAAATGCATAGGACTTGTGTGGTATGTATGTAAATTTCCCAAAAATCTAATGAGTCAATTGCAGCAAGTCCCAAAGTAATGGTTAATCAAGAACAAAAAATGATTTTTATTTGTTTTTGCTATTTAACCGACCATAAGTTAAAAGTCATTAAAAACTTAAACAGAAACAAAAGCGTCAGGTGACATTATCATTAGCTTTGCTGCTGGCCTTTTGTTTTTGCTATTTAACCGACCATAAGTTAAGATGTCACCTTAAGGAGTGGCGGCAAAACTAGAAATTGATCAACGCGAGTGAACTGTGCTTAGACGCTTCGTCAAACCGCACCGCATCTACGGGGGGAGCTGATGGATGAGTCTAGCGCCTTTCGATTCACGGAATGTGATCTGGGACACGATGGGAGTTAGCGTGCCTCGGTAGGCAAGAGATCACCGGAGTCTAGCACAAGATCGCCCTTTCTTGCTGGCATGGGGTCAACCTGTGAACAAGGTAAACCAAAGTCATTAAAAACTGTCAGGTGACATTATCATTAGCTTTGCTGCTGGCCTATTTTTACTGTTTTAATTTATTCATTTAACTAGAAAGGATCGGAACATTGGACCATCCCTCCAGTGCTCTGCCATAACAATGAGCTCGACACAAATGATAGCAAGTAACGATAGAGCATTGCCGCAAAAATTGTTAAAAGAGGGTCGCATACGGCAAATCTATAGCGAAGAGGAGCAGGAATCAGCCTGAGAAATTAGAGGGATTCAGAATTAACTTAATATTGGGACCATAAAATTTGGGAAATGATGAGAGCATAAAAGGAATTGTGAATTTAATTACAACCTAAAGTATCTTGAATTAGAAGTGATGTGTGCTAGAAAATTCGAGCCAGTAGAATAATGGATTATCGTATTAGTGTTGCACTAGAATTCAACACGCACTCAGATGAAAGAAATAACAAGTTTAGACATCAAAAGTTTTTGTGTGAAAAACTCGTAAAGAGAAAAAATCACTAGGTTTGACCCAGTTATAAAAAATCTACTATAAGTTGATGATTACAAAGACTCATTCTCCTACAGGCAGGAAAGTACAACGTGCGTGTGAATGAACTTGTTGCAAGGAACTGGCGACGACCAATAGCGATCGGAGACAGCCAGCAGGTGATGGTCGACGGTGGTCGGCGGTGGTCAACGGTGGTCGGTGGTGATGCTGGAGTTCATCTCCTTCTCAAAGTTTCAAGCTCTTCTTCAAGTCTCAAGCTATCTTCCCCCCTCATGAGAATAGTGGGACTCTATTTATATAGTATCAGTTATAATTAATGAAAGAATATGAAACATTTTGATCAGACGGACCAGAAATGTTCCCTTGATCGAACAACATTTGATGGACATTTGAATGTTTTAACGATCTTGGAATTGAGCAATATTAGGCTTAGATTTGTCTTGTCGAGACACTCAATTCGATTATAAATTTACTGGATTTGACATTCATTCCATCTTCCAAAAATACTTGAAAAGCTTCTAAAAATGGTTTGATGACTTTGATCTGAGCTTAATTTGACTCGGATTAGATCGATTTATCATTGAGTCTATCTTGTTGAGTCGATCAGTTTAATTGTAAGTTTGCTTAAATCGGAGTTTTTGATGACTCTTAATCACAGTTTGAACATTTCTTGCTCAAGATATCGTCTTGAGATATGTGTTATGTCTCAAAATTCATATAATATGATAGGAATTTGTTGATAGGGTATCACTTACCCTCTATATTAAAATGGAATGGTCGTAGGCTATGATACGAGCCCCAACCACGCTCATGTGTCTAACCACTCGATCTCACACTGAAAGGTAGATGCATTCAAGCGTGCTTAAACTGTGTTCGCAGGGGATTCACGACTGACAACACAGTTGTCAACCAAAGTATCAGAACGTACATCTTAAGAAAGCACTAAGCTTGGTTCACGTAGTTGGAGTGGGTTCCATGCAAAACATACCAAAAAATTGAGTGTAGCATAAGTAAATTTTTGTTTTTAGTTTTGTTGGAAGTCCAGTGCAGTTGGAATCAGGAACGCAGGGAACAGGATTGCCGACAGAAATGTGGAATGCTAAAAGGTGAAATCGGAAGTATCAGAGTCGACAGGTCGGATTTGGAGCCAAACGATTGGAATTCAGGCCGCCAAACCTAAAATTCAATTTTCTTTTTTTTTTCATTCAATGTCAGAATCTTTTTTAAGCATATAAATAGACATGATGAAGAGGGTGAAGGTGAAGTCTTCATCCCTGCCCAATAGGTGATCTGAGATTTCCCATAATAAGAAAGTAATCCACGTCGTGCGTAGTAGGCGATCGACGGGATTTTTTTTCGTGTTGCAGTGCAGAAGAAAATCGTCTTTGTCCTGCGTAGCAGACAATCGGAGGAATCTTCTTTCGCGTTGCAACAGAAGAAATTCATCCTCGTCATGCGTAGTTGACAACCAACGAGATCTTATTCTTGAAGAAGGTGCAGAGGAAGGTCGTCCCTAGCATGTGTAGCAGGCAATCAATTGAATCTTCTTTCATGTTGTCGTGAAGGAGAAATTTGTCCATGTATTGCATAGCAGACGATCAACGCGACTTAAGGTCTATTTGGGTCAGCTGCAGCTTATTGAATTATCTGTTGATAAGCTGTTAAAAATAATATACTGATAAGCGGATTAAAAATAATCTGCTGATAAGCTAGGTGCAATAGTTATTACAAATTTTTAATTTTTTTGAAAAGTCAAACCGCTGCCAGAAAGCTGTTACCGCACCTAGATAAGTGTGGTGTGAAAATATTGTTTTTAGCGTTTTGAAAATGCATAAGCTTTCAAAACGCAATTTACCCAAACAGACTTGGTGCGTTTTCAAAACGTCACCGCACCAAATAAGTTGCCCCAAACGGACCCTTAAAGCGTTGTTGAGATGAAGAAAGTTATCATTGTCCCTGCCTAGCAGGTGACTTGGGATCTTTTTACTTGTTACTATTGCACATTCCGGTGGAGATGAAGAAATGAGGGAGTTTTCCCTCATGCTTTTTGGGGGAGATTTTCATGCTTCTTTGGTAGTGATATTTGGAGACCAACTAAAGATCAGTAGAAGTACTGGAACTTCGAGGAGGCGATGTCGACTCCACTCGAAGATGAAGTGATTTGGTGTAGCCCTTGTATAAGTATATGTTGGTCTTTGTAGCCTTTCAATTGCCTGATGTCGCATTTACATGGTGATGATATGTTTATCTATACATTTTTCTCTAGTTTAATGCAATAAAAATTTTAATATTTCTTCTAAGATGTGATTTCCCCTCTGTGATGCTTTTGCCTCAGTTCTGTGTTGTTGTTACCTAATTTTTGGGCTGCTTATCGGTGTCATCCTCTTTTGAGGCTTATGCCTTCTAAGGCTTTTTGGTTTCTCAAACATGTGGAAGTCTACAATCAAAGTTAGCATGCACATTTTATATAAAAAAGAAGCACATACCTTTTGAGGCTTATTCTTTCTAGGTTTGTGCCCTCTTTGGCTTGTATCTTCTGAGGCTTATGCCTTCTTAAGTTCATGTCTTCTGAGCTTGAAATGAGTCGGTGTCTTCTGAGGCTCGCAATCTTCTGAGGTTTTTGATGTACATATACCTTCTGAGGTTTTTGATGTATATGTGTTTCTTGAGGCTTATAGTCTTCTGAGGTCTTTGATGTACATGTGTCTTCTGAGGCTTATAACATTCTGAGGTCTTTGAGTGATCGCCCTGTCAACCATTTGCTCTCTTGGAGTCTTTCTAGTGAAGATCATGTCCACTATTAGCTTCCCATCGAGATTTGTCTCTTGGGCTAGTCTTCTAGAGGCATGGTAGCTTCTCATGAAGTCTTGCATCATGGACTCGACTTCTAGGGGTACCGGTTATCCTCATCGAGTCTTGTCAATTGAGCTTGACTTCCGGAGGCATGGTAACTTTCCGTCGATATTTGCCTATTGGGCTTGAATTCTAGGAGTATCGTATCTTCTCGTCGAGTCTTATCTCGTATGCTAGATTCCCAAAGGCATGATAGCTTCTCATCAACTCTTAAATCTTGGGCTCGACTTCCAGGAGTATCGTATCTTCCCATCAAGTCTTTCCTCTTGAGCTCGACTTTCAGGGGTATGGTTGGAGACCTTGTTTTCCACTGCAAATATTCGACTTTTCTTAGGATTTTAGTCGAAGTGTGTATGTTTGATGATTGTAGCATGTGTTGGAACATAGTTGAAAGGAGAATCTATTAAGGATGCAAAACCCGTCCTGAGTTGTATAATGGGAGATGTTCCACAGCATTAATCGTTATTGGACAAAGTCATATGAAATCCATCGAGGATGGTTGGCTATCATAGATTGTTTCTCGAAGCTT